ATATATATATGTATGTATATGTATACATATTACACAAACGCAAACGTGTATATATATATATATATGTTTTTTAACGCTTTAATTTTTTTTTGCTGTGAGAAACTCTGTTACTACTACTACTACTACTACTACTACTAGAACTCTCTAATAAGAAAAGGTAAAGCAGCACTGCAATTAGATCGCCATGCTGTTGCACAAGAGGCTAAATGATACGGAACGCAGTAAAGCGTCGGAGGACGAAGAATTACAGTAGAGCTCATAATATATGAGACGTTGCAATTAAAAGCAGTTTAGAGTTAATTCCTGTTTCTTTCTTTTTCTCTCTTCATCTTCATCTTCATCTTCATCTTCATCTTCATCTTCTTCTTCTTCTTCTTCTTTTTCTTGCAAACCCCTTCACTCTCTATCTTCGTCTAATTTTTTTATTCTCTTACTTCCCCCTTTTTCTCCACTTTTTTCTTCTTATTCTTATTCTTCATCTTCAATTTTACTATCCAATTGGAACTTCGTCTTCATCTTCATCTTCTTCTTTTTCTTTCATACCCCTTCACTCTCCATCTTCGTCTAATTTTTTTCATTCTCTTACTTCCTCTTTCTTCTTCTTCCCTTTTTTCTTTTTCCTTGTATTCTTCATCTTCAATTTTACTATCCAATTGGAACTTCATCTTTATCTTCATCTTCTTTTTCCTACAAACCCCTTCACTTTCTATCTTCGTCTAATTTTTTTCATTCTCTTACTTCCTCCTTTTTCTCCACTTTTTTCTTCTTATTCTTATTCTTCATCTTCAATTTTGATATCCAATTGGAACAAGAGTAAAAGACACTGACTAAAAAAAAAAAGAAAAAGAAGGAACAAGTATAAGTGATTCTACAAGGTGTGCTGCTGCACCGGACACACCTATCGATTAAAGTTTAAACTTGACACCCAAAGTTAAGATCTTTAACCTGAGAATTGGTCTCCCGAGAATGTCATCATCCCACCCTTCTCCTCAAACCCCTACGCCAAACCACCCTCCCGTGATTGTTCCTTTTTCATATTCTTATATCATTATTTTTTTTTTTTTTTAATTTAACTTCTCGTCATTATTATTATTTGAATTTTAGTTCAATACTTTTATTGATTACTTTATTTTTGAATTGTAATTTTTTTTTTTTATTCACCAATGAGAAATTCAAGACGATTATATTACAATATAAACGTACATGTTTGAAATTGATGAATAATTTTATTCATTTTTATTTATTGTTATTATTAATACATAACAATTTGAGTTAGGATTAAATAATTGTTTTTTTAACCTGTGATAGGTGAGGTTTAGTGTATAAAGGTGTGTATTACCTTATTTTTGAATTGTAATTTTTGTTTTATTCATCAATGAGAAATTCGAGACGATTATATTGAACGTTTGAAATTGATGAATATTTTTGTTATTGTTATTATTAATATATAAAAGTTAGAGTTATAGGATTGGATAGTTATTTTTCTCACCTGTGATAGGTGAGGTGTAGTATATATAGGGTGTGTGTTGTAGGGTAAGGTAAACTTGATTTATCTCATCCGTTCTACTTAGTCACTGCGTATAAAGGAGGATACAGGGTAGATTACTTTCCCGTTGACCCGGTAGAGACACTTCACTTAACATCGAGGTGATAAGCATTATCTACGGACAGTTTAAAAAGTCTTATTACATCCCTCTATCCGATAACATTACGCACATACCTTTGGGCCCTTTAATCATTTTCTTTTTCTTTCTATTTTCTTATTCTTTTCATGTTTACACGTATGATGTGCACGTACGTACGTAAACTATGTACACCAATCAAAAGAATTTTCTAATTTTTTTCAACCCTTTTTATATACACGTCGAGATTACCTACGAACGATTGCATTTTTTTTTTAAACTGAAGAAGAAGAAGAATTGGGAGAGAGAGAGAAGGAGGGAGAGTGGAAAATGAAAGAAAGAAAAAGAAAAAAAAAGCTTTCGTTCTCGTAACCTCGTCGTATTTTTAGCTTTCGATGTGTCTCTTTCTCTTTGTGTGTTTGTGTGTGTGTGTGTGTATATATATATGTGTGCATATGAGAGAGAAAGAGAAAGGGAGAGAGAGACGACGAAGTTTTTCCCTTCTTCCTTTTCGTTAATTTTTGTTTTGGTTTTATTTTGTTTTTTTTTTTTCAAGTAAAAATGATACCAATATCTTTTCGCAGGAGTCACGGAGCAAGAGACCTTTTAAGATATGGGACAGTTGGCGTAATGTAAGAAAGGGACTGGTAGTAAGCAATTTCGAGGAACTGATACATCGTGGTAAGAATTTTTATTGAGTTTAACTACTTGTTCTTTTATTCACAATTTTTTTTCTGTAACACGTCGAGACGATTTATATAATTTTAATTTGATATTTAATTCAATATATAATTATATAATTCTATATATTTTAATTAATATACAATTATTAATTATATAGTAATATATATTTATATATTTGCGTGGTAAGAATATTTATTGATTTTAACTACTTGTTTTTTCATTTACAATTTTTTTTCTGTAACACGTCGAGACGATTTATAAAACTTCAATTTGATATTTAATTCAATATATAATTATATAATTCTATATATTTTAATTAATATACAATTATTAATTATATAGTAATATATATGTATATATTTGTGTGGTAAGAATATTTATTGATTTTAACTACTTGTTCTTTCATTTACAATTTTTTTTCTGTAACACGTCGAGACGATTTATAAAATTTCAATTCGATATTTAATTATATAATTATATATATTTTAATTAATATATAATTGTTAATTATGTATGTATGTATGTACATAATATTTGCGTGGTAAGAATTTTTATTGACTTTAACTACTTGTTTTTTTTTCTTTTTTCATAATCATCGTTTACAGTTATTTTTCGTAACACCTCGAGACGATTAATAAAATTTCAATTTGATATTTAATTCAATATATAATTATATATTTGCATTTAATGATGAGAGATTAATTTAAAAATTAACTTAACTAAGTTTAATTTTGTCCTATCTTTTTTTCTATTCTTACTTTCTTCCTTTCTTTTTATTTAAACTACACTTTGAAATATTAAATTATATATTATAAAGAAAAAAAGCGTAAATTATATATCACTTTTATCATTGAAGAACGTTTCGTTCTCAAATCAATTAAAACTCGATGAAACGATGAAAATATATAGAGAAAGAGAGAGAGAGAGAGAGAGAGAGACAACAGCTGGGTAAATAACGACGAGTGGAAGAGTCAATAAAATTATATTTACAAATAAATTAAACGTGTCGATTCTCCACTGGTTTTGGATAATCGAAAATGAAAGAAAGAAAGGAAGAAAGTGAGAGAAAAAAAGAAAAGAAAATAAAATATCAATCCCACCCTTCAATGAAATCTAAGATTTTTCTCTTGAAAATAAAACGAAATAAAATAAAATAAAATATAATAATAATAAAAATAATAATAATAATATATATATGATCGTCTCAATATTTCTACAACCCTCTACAACCCTTTGCCACAGAAACCCCGAATAAAAAAAAATTATTTCAATTCATAATACACCCCGAATTCATAAAATATTAATTTATTCATGAAAAAACATTTTTTAAATAATATTAAATAAAATGATATTATAATAAATTATATATAAGTTAAATTATTATTATAAGAGTTAACTAATATTATATTGTTGTATTATGTTTTTTATTTTTACAGGTAAAGAAAAATTGGGCGTACCGCAGAACGAGAATGTTTCTTTAGTATTGGAATCTGACGGGACACAAGTTGAAGACGGTGAATACTTCAAGACACTAGCCAATAATACGATTTTACTTTTATTGCGGCATGGTGAACGGTGGTGTCCAACTGGCGTTGACATCATACGAGCCGGTACTTATTTATTTTCAAAAAAAAAACCCCTCCACCCCCATAAATATACTTTCATACCTAAAATAACACATTACATATACATACACACCCATACACACCCATAAACACACCCATAAACACACCCATAATACACTGAAAACAAAAAATACTTATCAGAAACAATTTTTATGATTAATAGCAACATTATTTATCATTAATTTTTAATCCTTAAATAACAAAATTTTACAAACACTTTGACAAACATCACAAAGTTCTATGAAAACATTATAACACGTATAGTTGTTAAAAGGGTTAACAAATCGTTTAAAAAACCAATCAGAAAAAAATCCCATACACCCCTTTAATGTTTCTACATTTTTATTTATTTAATTTCATTTCAATGTTTATTTTCTTACTTATTGTTTTTCATATCTACTATCATTGGACTGTACATAAGAAGAAAAAGGAAAATGGAGGTGGGGGTGGGGGTTAGTTAACGATATATACAACCCCCTTTCCTTCTTTTTCTTGATGACGGTACATTAACGAAGTTTAATAATAATAATAATAAATAAAATAAAAAAAGTGCAAGGAAAAAAAACATGTACGCGGACAAGCTCGTTAGCTTTGTCTTTTAACGTAGAGAATGATAGAGAAAGAGAGAGAGAGAGAGAGAGAGAGAGAGAGAGACAGACAGATAGTGATATATATATATATAAAGATATGTAGTGGAAAATGAAGTGAAATGACTAAACGTATGGGCGGACTTTTTATAATAAAACATTATTTACTTTCTGGTTGATTCTTTATCTGAAAGTTTTAAAAATACTTTAAATCTTTAAATAGTAAATCACATTTTAAACCTAACGAGAATAATTAAAACTCTAATGCCACCTTAACGTAACACAACACAACGTCTAGTGAAAAATGAAGTGAAATGACTAAACGTATGGGCGGACTTCATTATAATAAAACATTATGTGTCTTCTTTTGTATTCTAATCGTGGTTGATTCTTAAAAATACTTCAAAACCTTTAAATACTAAATCACATTTTAAACCTAACGAGAATGATTAAAACCCTAATGCCACCCTAATGTAACGCAACGCAACATATAGTGAAAAATGAAGTGAAATGACTAAACGTATGGGCGGACTTCATTATAATAAAACATTGTGTCTTCTTTTGTATTCTAATCGTGGTTGATTCTTAAAAATACTTCAAAACCTTTAAATACTAATTCACATTTTATCATTAAAGTAATAAATCAGACGAGAATGATTAATACCCTAATGCAATGTAAACCTGACGCAACCCTAACGCATTGTTAAATGTTAAAGTAATGTTAAAATTATGAATGTGACCTGATCTTTGAAAAAAAAAAAAAATATTGTCTTACAATTATGTTTGAAAATCAACGATGCAAAAAATGATTTCATTAATTCAGCTTGACATCTTGCTTATATAATATAATATAATATGATATATAACGTTGACATTTCTCACCCTGTATTGAATCATTAAAACGTAACGTAACGTTAAAATAGTTTGTCAAGTTAAAAGGCAATCCTTTAGAAGTGCAACGCGTCTAATTAAATCTTGCAAATAATTATCTGACGAGAGAATCGAGAATAGAGCTGTCCGTTGTTAAAAGGGTGAGAACTATAGATAGGAGGGAGGAGGAGGAAGGGGGGGGGGAGAGGAGTCATTAAAAGTGACACTTTCAATCAATTTCAATTCTTTCCTTAATGTTCAACTTTATTTATTTTATTTAGATGCTTTAATTGTGTTGATATTTTTATAATTCTTGTCTCACAATAATAATTGGTAATCAGAATGATTGAACACATGTATAGGAAAAATAATGTTTATATGATTTTATAGTTGTATATAAATGATTTTGAAAGAATAATTCGAATTGAAGGAACATTTGAATTTGTTTGTTCATCTTTCTCTCTTTCTCTATTTTTTATATATTTAAAAAGTGTTTGTTTACTTAACACGTTCCGTGCCACACACCCTTTTTACCTGACTTGTTGATCAAGGTATTAATTAAATATATTTATATATATTTAATTTATATTTAATTTTTATATTTATCTTTTATATATATTATTATATATATATTTAATATTTTATATTATATAAATTATATAATAATAATTATAATATACCACCTGGTGTGTAATAATTATATATTATATTATATTAATAAAAATTATATAATTAATTTTTACTTAACTTTTCATGCAGAATATTAAATAAATATATTTAAGTATACAACCAGGTGATGGTACACGTGGCACGGTATCTGTTAATAATTATATTTTCTATTATAAATAAAATAAATAATTAAATTGATAAATAATGTTCACAGCAATATCAGCGATACCGAAAATAGTTTGCGAAACAATTCACGCCCTGGAGCTGCACGATGAGACGCCATCGTGGAAAATTATGGACAATAAGGGACGAGTCACAGTGGTCCTACATTGGGACCAACGTTCGTCGTCGTCGTCGCAGGTTCAATCGCAGTCGAAGGGGGCGGATGCCCAGTCCTCTAAATATTCGCCAACTAAGAAAGCCGATCTGAGCGGGAGTCAACGACCCTCGTTGGTGATTCAAACTAGCCTTGACAAGTTGAATTATGGGGGAAAGCCAACACATTTGCCGGGCGGCGAGCTAGGTCCAAGCAGATACGCGAGTCCCCAAATCACTGTGATAAATCATGATGATATGGTAGAGAGAAATGTTGAGAGTATTAGAACCAAAAAAAAATAAAAAAAAAAAAATAAAAATAGAAATAATGAAGAAATGTGTGTAATAATGTTAAGCGACGATCAACTAAAACGTTCTTTTTGATCTCGCAGCAACAACAGCAGCAACAACAACAACAGCAGCAACAACAGGCTCAGCAAGTGCACAGTATGCCAGGTCGTTTGGTGAAGCAAGGAACGAATTCGTTCGAAAGTACGACCATCCATATCCATACGCCAGAGTGTTCAAATCACATACATCAGCCGGTAGCTAGGAACGGTAGTCCTGTAAACGGGGCGGACAACGGTACCACAGGAGAATGCGATTTTCATTGTTGTGCATTGCACGAGGAGGGTCGTAGGATTGCGGTGCACAAATCTGTTGCAACATCACCCATTCAGGATAGTCAACATCAACAGTATCAACAGCAACCGCATCATCATCCGCATCAGCAACAACAACAACAGACCCAAACCCAAACACCGTCGCCTCAACCACCCTCATCGTTATCAGATGGTACGAGGCGATCGGGATTGGGCAAGGGTCACGTAAGATTTCGCGATACCACTGACGAAGAATCGAGTCCACGTTTAGGTCCTGGAAATTCGACCGGTGGTTTTCATCTGCATCATCATCATCACAATCATCATCAGGAGCACGACAGCTCCGAATCAGAAACCGAGAATACGATTATGGAGGACGAGATACACACCTCCGAAAAATTTTTATTGCTCATCGATCAATTAACCGTAGATCAAAAGCATCATTTAAGTATAAAGGACATAGGCATCATATTAGAACGTTTAAGCTCAAAAATATTGGACGTAGAAAGATTGGATCGTGAGAGCGAAAGTGAGGAGTGTTACAATTGGACGATCAAGGCAATCATCAGGGGTGACGTATTACGCGAATTAGGTGTCATTTATAATGGAAATTATTATGCTATCTCGGAACATCCGGGATACAAAGAGGAGTCCGAAGAGAATAACGAGGATAACGAGGAGGAGGAGGAGGATAGACTTTAATACGATGTTGTTTTATTAAACGGACATACTGACAGCAGACAGCAGACATAAAAGAAACCAAAAAAAAAAAAACACAAAAAATAAGAAAAACACAACAAATAGATAGATAGATAGGTAGATAGATAGATAGACAGATAGATATGTAGTTAGTTAGTTAGTTAGTTAGATAGATAGATAGATAGATAGATAGATAGGTAGATAGATTATATACCTATTAATGGTATTATTAAACCATATAGCATTTAAAGAAAAACGTTCTAACTGGTTTTGGGGCTCGTTTCTATGGCTGCTGTTGCTGTATACTAATTTACAGCTAGTCATGGCTACAAGCCGCATGATAAGAGAAAAAAATTGCCAATTGTGTTTTGTGTTTTACTCAACCCTAATCTGAATTCGATTCAAAGAAGACTAGTTTATTCAAAAACAATGTGTTGAGAGAAAAAAAAACAAATTTAACATCAATCGAATTCATGGGGGTTGGGAGAAAACGAAAATTGGCATCGTGTATCGGTTAAAGGACCGACAAAAAAGTGATTTTTTCAAAAAGTTTTCATATAATAATAATAATAATAATAATAATAATAATAAAAAATAATAATAATAACACTACTACTACTACTACTACTACTACTACTATTACTATTATTATTACTACTATTAACTACTACTACTACTACTACTACTACTATTACTACTACTACTACTATTAATAATAATAATAATAATAATAATAATAATAATAATAATAATAATAATATACTAATAATGATAAATGAAAAAATGATAAATGCATCATACTGAAAAAAATCATACGATAATTTACAAAAAAAACTTAGTTCTAAAGACGGTTGTTGAAATATCTACTTATTAAATAGTATGTATAACTTGTAGGAAACATTTTTTGGGATTACGGACGTTGGATTCCGTAACCGTCCACAACACTGCCCTATCTAACAAAAAAAAAAAAAATAAATAAATAAATAAAAAAGTGAAGAAGAAGAAGAAGAAGAAGAAAAAAAAAAATTAATGAGAAAACGAACGATGCGATATGTTACCTTTATCATAAGCTAAAATTAATAAAAAAAAAAAAAAACAAAAATAAAAAAATAAAAAGACGACGACTTAAGACGACTACGACGTTTGCGTACGATTTTTAAGATTTATGTTCGATGCAGTTTTGATGAGGAAGTTGACAATTTGTTCTCCCATCCTTTTCACCCCGTTTTATCTCTTACCCTATCTCTCTCTCTCTCTCTCTCTCTCTCTCTCTCACACACACACACACACACACACACGTTCTCTTTGTTTTTGTTGCTAAATAATAATCAATTTTATTGATTACATATGAAAATGTATTTGTATTCGTGATAAGAAAAAATTATAGGAAAAAAGTTGGAACAATTGAGAGAGAAAAAGAGTAGAGGGAAATTTGGGAGTGAGGGGAAGAGGTGGGGATGATAAAAATGTAGGAAAAGGATGGGGAGAGAAAGGTATAATACAATTGTGATAGAATAAAAAAATAAATAACGATATAAAACAAAATAACCAAAGAATGCTGCCAAATATGCGAATTGAGAGAGAGAGAGAGTGATGAATTGGATAGAAAGAGATAAACGATTATATATACATGTTGTAATAAAAAGAAATAAGAGTGAGAGAGAAAAAATGTTAGGGGAAAAAGAAAATCATGTTGTTACATCGTTTATAATTATCCTAACGAAAAAGTACGTGGAAATAAATAAACCAATAGGAAAATAAAACGAACGAGAAAATAAAGAAAGAAAGAAAGAAACTGTAAACTAAACACGTAACGTGTAACGTGTAACGTGTAACGTAACGTAACGTAACGTAACACGAAAATAACGAAAATAATGGAAAAAAGAATAAACAGAAAAAGGGTTTAAAAAATGAAAAAAAAAAAAAACAATAAAAACATCACACCGCTAAACCTAAAAGAGAGAGAAAAGATTGAATGAGAGTGAGTGAGAGAATAAGAGAGAGAATGAGTGAGTGGGAGAGAGAGAAATCTTACGAGATGTTGAATTATAATAATTGTGAAAAAAAGAATGAAAATGAAAATGTTGTATTGTTCAATCGTCACTACCATAAAAGAGAGAGAGAGAGAGAGAGAAAGATTGAATGAGAGAGTGTGAGAATGTGTGAGAGAGAAAAATTGAGTGAGTGAGTGTGTGTGTGAGAGAGAGAGAGAGAGAGAGAAACTTTAAGGGACGATGAATTATAATAATCGTGAAAAAAAGAATAGAAATGAAAATGTTGTATCGTTCAATCGTCACGACCAGCCGCCGTTAATAGTCTCTCGTCATACAATGCACTCGCGTATAATAATAAATAATAATAATAAATAATAATAATAATATTAATATTAATAATAAAATCAGCTAAGAGGAATACTTAGCTGCGAAAAAAACACGATATGCCATGTACGATATTACATACATACATAAATACACATACACATGTACACATAGACACATATTTACATTCCATACATAAATAAATACATTCATACGTGTGCATATACATTTGACATATACATAATTACATATTATGCATAAATGCATAAATACATATATATATATATACATTGCGTACGTATAATGCATAGAAAGAGAGAGAGAGAGAGAGAGAGAGAAAGAGTGAGTTCGTCGTCATTCGGAAAATTTACATTAATCGTATTATACATAAATAAAAATGAAAAACACATACACGACGCATCTAAACGATTTAAAGGTGATACAAATAAAAAAGAAAAAAATATGTGCGAAAAAGAAAAAAAGAAAAGTAAACGTGATGGTGGAGGAGGTGGAGGTGGAGGGAAGGGGAAGGAGTAAAAAAAAAACCAGAGGAAATAAAAAATAGAAAATAAAAAAAAATAAAACTTTGCAATTTTAATATATTTCTATTGTAAGTATAATAATATATAATGTAATACACACACACACACAAACACACACACACTCGACGACTGTGAGAAGAATTAATGCGCCAAAAACCAAACTAAAAAAAAATAATAATAATAATAATAATAAATAAAAAGAAAGCAAAAGCAAAAAAAGAAAAGAAAGAAAAGAAAAGAAAAGGAGTAAAACCTCGAAGAAAATAAGAGCCCGAAAAAGAGGAAAAATCCGAAAAGAAAGAAAAGACGAGTGGGGAGGAGAGTGGGGTGGAGAAAAGGGTGGCAAAGCAAAGGTACGAAAAAAGGGGAGGAAAAATGTAATGTTATTTGAGAAAGAAAGAATGAAAGATAAAAACAAAACAAAAAAAGGTACGAAACTAGGAAAGGGGTGGTTTGGGGTGTTGTAAAAGTACGACGAGAACGCTGCTGATTCGGATAACGCGCTTATCTTTACTACATTTGTTGAAGGGTTGGAAAAAGGGAATGAAGGGAGAGAAGGGAGAGAAGGGGAAATTGTTGGGTACTCCTCGTACACGTCTGTGTGTCTGTGTGTTAGTAACTTGAATATACGTAGTAGTATATTCATGTACACGTACATATGTTCATATACGTGTATGTGTACGTATGAGTGTATGTTGGGTGTGTGTTATTACTTGAATAAATGTAGTAGTATATTCACGTACACGTACATATGTTCATATATATATGTTCATATACGTGTATGTCTGTTTGTATGGTTGTTATGTGTGTGTGGTTACGTACGAGCTGTGATTAAACTTGATGGGAATAAAAGGAGATAGAAAATAAAAAAAAAACTGGGAATGGGAGTGGGGGTAAAAAAAGAGAATAATATAATATGCGTATAGAAAGGGGTTGGTTAAAAAAAAAAAAAAGGAACAAAGTAGAAAGACGTAAAGAGATTAAAAATAAAATAAAATAAAATAGGAAAAGGGTTGTGGAAAAATGAATCTGTTAAAGCAAGCAACCAAGCAAGCAACCAACCAACCAACCAAGCACGTGTTCGAGCAGCATCAGAAAGTAAGAAAATAAAAATGAAATGAAATAAAAAATGTAATAAAAAATGAAGGAACAAGATAAAGGAAAGTATACATAGATGATGATGATGATGATGATGATGATGATGATGATGATGATGATGAGGGTGGTGGTGGATAGATGAAACGTGGATAGAAAGATAAAATAAAAGAGATAGATAATGGCGAGCCAACATCCATTATAACATAGGATGACGAGGGTTGTTTTTTTTTTTTTTCTATGTCGGGCTCTCTTCAAAATGTTTTTTCGCAAAATAAATGATATTTACTCGTGTTCAAAGAAGACATATATACATACATACAATACATACATGAATAAATACATACATGAAAAAAATGTTTTACATATGGTTTTTAAATTTGAAGATTGAAATTGAGATGCACAAGTTGTTGTTGCGTGAACGACTATGCGAAAAAACCTTTTGTTTACCAAATGTTTACAAAAAGATCGTTAAATTCGATACGATCAGAAAAACAAACGTTCCTTACCCATTGTAAAATGTCAACGATTTCAGATTTTCTTAAAGAAAAAGAAACAAAAAAAACATAACGATGAGTAAAAGGAGTTTGAGGGGGTGGTGAAAGTGGAGGTGGATGAGGGAAAAGGAAGTGAAGAGTAAAAAAAAGAAATGCTGGTATTAAACAATGTGAGGGTTGGGGATGAACGGGGTTGTAAATGCGTTAGTAAATGATGATAATAATAACAATATAAAAATAATGAGAAATAATAATAAAAGAAGAAGAAGAAGAAGAAGAAGAAGAAGAAGAAGAATGAACGTACGAACAGAAAAAAAAAATAAAAATAAAAAAAATGAAAAGAAGAAGAAAAAGAAAGGTTAGAAGAATAAAATAAAAAAAAAAGAAAAACTAAGATGAAAGATGAAAAGAACGAAATGTCCCTTTGTTATCGCGAAACGTCAAGAGTCACCCTTGTTCGATCAGATCATTTTCCGATTCTTTTTTCTTTTTTCTTTTTTCTTTTTTTTGATATTTTTCTTTCTTTCTTTCTCCATTGACTTCAAGAGGGATGAGAGAAAAAGAGAAAGAAAAATACGAGTATGATTTTACGAGTTTTAAATAGTAGACGAATCTTCCACCCCAAAAACATTTCACGATTA